TGTGTGTGTGTGTATGTGTGTGTGTGCGTGTGTGTGTATATGTGTGGTGTGTGTGTTATTGTGTGTGTGTGTGTGTGTGTGTGTGTGTGTGTGTGTGTGTGTATGTGCGTGTGGTTATATATTTATACATACATATATATATATTCGGAAAAGGTATCAGCTAAGTTCAACTGTAATTTCGTCGCGCTACGAGATGAAGACACCTCATGATTTGACCCCATGGTAATTTTTTTGCTGATCTTTGCGGCAGAAGTGCGTCGCAACCATGCGAATTCCTGTTTTAAAAGTGAGCGCAACGCTTCTTTCTGCTGTAATATTGTGACCCCTATACAAGTTGCATAATCGAGACTGAAAGAGGGGTATAGTCAAGTGAAAGAAATATCATGCAAATTTATTCAGTACGGGTTTGGACTTCAATTATAGTCAGGCATAATAGTGCTGATTAATATTTATCGGCTAATAACTGTAGTGATCCAATATTAGCTTATAGGTATTCAAGATCAGTGTTCAAGAAACTACACTAGCTACATTCTATGCATAGTCATAGCATATATTTTTTGATGCCATGTGTTGTCTGATTTAGAAGGCTATGTATGTTTATTGCTAACTATGTTTCGAAGCAGAATGATACACTACAATCCTGACTTCTTACTAATGTATGTTCTAACGAATTTTCCGTAACACTGAACTACCAAGATTGAGAGACCGGGCGTACATACTGTAGAGGACGATTGATGAAACTCAATCGAGACAAGGTGAAACAAACAATATGGACATAGCCCGGACACATCACGCCCACTTTGGCAGCTGGGACAACTCGAATAGTCCATTCAATGGAGTTTAACTTCGCGGATATGGACGTTAGTAAAACTTCCCGAGTCACGAGAGAAACTAGCAAACGACATCCGCATTTCACAGCAGTCAATACTAAAGTACTAGACAAGCAACTTGAACGCATATGACAGCTCTCCACAACGGTTGAGTGACACATAAATCACGTCGCACAGAGAAAAGCGGGTATTCAAATCAACGAATACGACACAATGCACCCTACGAGTCTCAGCGGAACCGACGTGTGTGCAGCAATATAAGCCTCGAGTGCGCTTCGGGCGATATGCGTACTTGTCACTCGAAGAATGTTTGCAGTGTACATATACTTTTCACTTGCTATACACACATTAATCATTATTGCCACTTGAAGGATGTTTATTAACGCGCGTATACTTTCACTAGATATACGTACGTTCAATCTCATCCCGATTGGACTATTGCTTTAAAAGCTATGTAAGATTCCAGTTTGTTCCAGAGCTGGGTCACTAGGCGCACGTACATAATTATTATTGCCACTTGAAGGATGTTTGTTAGTGTGCATATACTTTTCCCTTGATATACGCACATTCACTATTATTGCCACTTGAAGGATGTTTGTTAGTGTGCAAATACTTTTTACTTGATATGCGCACATTAATTAGTATTGCCGCTTGACGGATGTTTGTTTGTGTGCAAATAATTTTTACTTGATATACGCACATTTATTAGTATTGCCAGACTAAACGCAAGTACGCATGCGCGTGTGATGACAGCGGAATCTCGTCAGCTCAGACTGATATCGTTTTGAACACGTTGATACCCGACGCCGCCGTACTAATGAGAACACTTGGACACTGGGGGTGCCAGTGGTGCTCCTTCACATCTTGTTGCCCCTGTTAGTTGTGAAATGATTTTACATTTAGTTACGCGTCACATGCGTTGCATGGTTTGTATGGCGAAGATATACCAACCGATCCCGACTGCTGCTCAAAGGTTTGGGGTTTTTAGGGTTTTATAGATGTTGAATATTGAGGAATTTGGACAGGTGCAAATAGCGTCAGGACGAAAACCCACCCCAGTACGTTCACATCCAGGTGTCGATGTATACGACACATAAATCACACCACAGTATCACAATTCCGATTCTCGCGCTAAGGTTTCACACAGTACCCTTCCGAATCTACTATATCAATCGCGGTCGCAGATTATCATACACACACACACATCACGCGCACGCAACATCTTGCAAGAGAGTGAAGTCTCAAACTGACACACCTGATGAATGAACAGCAGTTGTGGCGGAACGTCTGGCGCATCACTCTGGCCAGCTTCTTCTTTATCGTTCTCTACACTTAAGTCCCAGAGCGTCGTCTGATCATCAGCACCAGACACAGCCAAAACCGAGTCATCCGTGGGGTGCCATTCAACGCTTGTGATGGGCGCTGCAAGCATGTGAGAGGTGATTTGTTAAGGTGTGTGACTACATATACCGATGATCACACGGTCAACTTGAACACAGCGAAGCGATGACTAAGTTGAGTGCAGGTGACGTGAACCGCATTGAATGAGCTGGGCTATAGCTGAGGATGATGAATGAGCTATAGCTGAGGATGATGAATGAACTGGTCTAAGCTGAGGATGATGAATGAGCTGGGCTATAGCTGAAGATGATGAATGAGCTGGGCTATAGCTGAGGATGATGAATGAACTGGGCTATAGCTGAGGATGATGAATGAGCTGGGCCAAAGCTGAGGATGATGAATGAACTGGGCTATAGCTGAGGATGATGCAATCAATAATCGAGAAACATGCTCAAGCTTTGCGAAATAATAAACAAATGAGGCTGGGACAGGAAACGATCGAAAAACCACATAGGCTTCGGATTGCTTTAGTGTTAAGTGATGATGTGACTGTCGGAATCAGACTGCGGGTATACTGACATTGAAGGTCTTTTTCAGTAGAACATGGATATTCAAAGATACGATCTCCCGGAGAAAAAGTACGACTAAGCAGGCGTCGTAGCCAATGTCCATTCTAGTGATCTGCTGCGTTTTATAACCTGGTACACTTGCACTTGACTTCAAATTCAAATTCGAATCAAATACAGTCCATGTTTTAGCTAAGACACGTAAATCATCATAAAGCGGACCATAGCACATACGGGGGGTTACAGTTGAATTAAATTTTGCGCACTTACCAGAATGCCACTTAAACGAAGCGACGGGCTGCACATTCGCACCTCCACTGGAGAAAGTTCGAAGATCCCACACTTTAAATTGACCATCGTCTCCTCCCGACACCATGAGATAGTTAGTGAGCTTATTCCAGCTCAATACATTCACGTCTACATCGTGTGCCTGCACAGTCAGTGCACTTCCATTCTTTTTCCTCGTGTCCCATATTCTAACCGTCTGTGTGTTCGGAAGACAACATAAATGAATACATCGTCTCCGCGTGCAGTAATAGCATGTAGGAATGGGTCAGATGCGATTGCTAACAAACCCCTGCTCCGATCGCCAAAACCACTCTCGATAAATTTTTACTACATCATAATGCATTGAATTGAATAGCCTATATATATATATATATATATATATATATTCGCACCTTGTCACACGAAGCCGATGCCATCACATTCGGTTCTGAAGGACTCCACTGTATGTCTTCTACCGATTCCGTATGCCCTTTGAATGGTGTCTGATGTTTTTCGTATTGATTTGGGAAGATGAGGAAGTAAAATGAGACTTGAGTGTTGCCATGAATACATACATGCGAGCACAAGTGCACATTGATACATATGCAGCAGTTGGATTCAAAACACAAATAACATTTACAAGTTATTTTGATACCGGAAAGACAGCTGAGCTTCAAACAGTAAATACTCGACCTATTCTTTTAACACAAATTATTTTCAAGTATATACGCAGTTTCAAGCGTACGTGTATCTTATGTACTTGTGAGCACTACTCTTATAGCCACATACATAATGAGTTGCATACAAGTCAGAACCTCGCAACTCACGCCCCCGAACAACGCGACGAATTATAACACGTGAACAGCCAATACCTCACACCGCAGCTTGTATACACCAACCGACACCTAGATTGAAATTAACGCCTGTTCACAAGCTAGTCGAAAATTAAGCATTGGAGGTGTCCGAGTGAGGCAATACACAATACCTTATTGACATTCCAGCTGCCTTCTTGCGTAGGCTCCCAAAGATATATATGTTTGTGACAATCGCCGGATACGAACCGGCCAGGTACAGTTGGTGACCAGTCCATGGAGTATCCTGGTTAAACAGAGTTGTGCAGAAGAAACACAACAGAGATTAGCCAACCATGCAACTAATGAATACTGCACAAGTGCCATTTTCAAAGGTCAGCAGCAAATACGCCAGTAGCATATCATACTGTGGTATAAAAAACCCCAGCCTCGCCATAGAAGGGTTGCACAATTCAACTTGTAGTACAACGGAACCGACAATAATGCGATGCACATTCTCATCCGACTGTTTAGTCCTATAAAATGTCTTCTTACCTTCTGTAGGATGTCCGTTGAATGTGAAGATAGGGTCTGTTTTGGCTGCCAACGGTACTGTGGGTGGTGTGTCCAGAGCTGAAATGTGTGCAGAGCCATCGTACATGGAAACCTAGATTTGTGCAAAATATTATCTAATGAGAAAGAATGTGATGTTTTCTCCAGAAAGAAATTAAATACGAGAACAGAGACGTGAATATACCTTTGTTCGGAATTCAAAATATTAAAGATGTACATATGAATACATATGAATATACATGGTCAATACAGCATATACGATAAACTGGTTTGCATAATTTGCGAACAGATACAAATAATATCTGCTCGCCACATTCCATACCTTTCCAGTTTCTGACCAGACCGCAACTACGCCTGGCATGGTGGGTGAGGCTCGCACTCTATTGATGCCTCCGTTGTGTTTGATATGGTGAGATGTGAGAATGGCGTCTTCGTCTAAGGCATCATCATCATCATCATCCGACGCATCGGAGTCTACATACAGGAAGGTAGATATGCAAGCCGTGATTGAAATAAATACCTCTGCTCGCAAAAATCTGATTGTTCGACTTGAAACAATCATATAAACGCTTTTAACTACACGCACGAGGTGACTATCAATGCCTCGCACTTCCATCCCATATTGCAACTTTGTTTAGAACCTTGCATACTTAATTATTGAACAATACATGAAGATGGGCATCGCGAGCTAAATGCTTTCTAAAACGATGCAATTGTATAAACAAATCGTCAGCACAGTACAGTACAAACGCAAAAACCAGTATCGAGAGCTTCAACCACTTACCATTATCAAATTTTGTTTTGTGCATTTGCGATAGCTTCATGAATATAATCTTATTCTGGTGCGCCTTCTCCGCCTGTGTGCCACCCACCAGGTACGTGGTCATGGGGAACTTTGTTCGGTTATCGCCTAAACCATCCGGAATGATATCAAAGCTCAGACATGGCCACTCTACATTAACAGAATGTAACATGTCGTACGCAGACAGATCCACCTCCAAAGCTTCGTCATCTTCGATAGCATCCCCTGGTAGATAGGCTTTCTCTACTTCGGGTTCATCCTCGGCTTCCAGATCATCCCCCTCTTCTGTTTCTCCATTTGCGGTGTCTGTTGAAAGATAACGGTAGAAAGATAGGGGTAGAAACGTGTGACTATTCGGTGTCTGTTGAAAGATAGAAGTAGAAACGTGTGACTATTCGGTGTCTGTTGAAAGATAGAAGTAGAAACGTGTTACTATTCGGTGTCTGTTGAAAGACAGAAGTAGAAACGTGTGACTACTGACTCACATCGCTCGTAATAAAGCATATTAGCCTGATGTCGCAATTTCTAATAAGTGACGCGCGCAAGTGTCTATTCAAGATTTATTCAGGAGATGAATAGTGTACTCTCTCACATGCGACGCACAGTAGGGTTATGCCGACGTTGAAATAGACACTACAGCTACAGCTTCAAATAGCACAACAGTGCGATTGGTACGATGATATGCATGAGGCACTGAACACTGTCAGCAAAGATTGCCAGAATTTCTACCAACTTAAGAAAACGGCTATGTGGATGAGAGCTCTTGCACTATTCGATCACTCATTGTATTGTCAGGAGGTGCACGTGTGGCTGGTACTTTAGAGATGCGACTGTGTGAGTAGTCTACGCGAGTGTACGTCACGAAAACAGCAAGATATGTACCATCAGCAAATACGTAGGTTATGACATCTATGTTGTTTCTTTGTACTCATATCTGGCATGTATAAGTATATGAATATGCACCCAATACAATTTAAATGCAATGTAAGGTCTTGTGCATTTGTACACATGATACACAGATACACGTGACCCATATATGCCCTGCATGCTAATTAGCAGGAATATATAATACTTATTATAGGCAACAATTGAGAAGAACATACAGGCTCAATAAGAGATGATGATACATATGTCTGTGCCTGTGAGTTCAAAGATTCATCAGAGGAAAACGATATATAAGATACTAACTGGCGTTTAGAACGTGAATATCGCCATCAAATCTACACATTGGTATATGTATATCAGATGCAGCACACATTTCTATATATCACAATTGCAACAATGTACATAATACTAAAAACCCAAAATCGCAAACACGCACATAATGATTTAAATAAATATTAACTACATGGCATATTTCATACATTCATAAGGGAGATAGCCTATACATCTTACTATGAGTATGGTTTAAGATTCGGTACAATTCCTTGCCCAGCCCACGTATAAATTTCAGTGACTCCCAGTTAAATAACGGTATCGGCATACACCGCCTGAAAAAAAAAATGGACACCTCAAAAACGATATCATGTATATGTACATAAAAAACAGTATAAACACAAACACACAAAACCACATACACACATATATATAATACAAAGAAACCATGCACACTGTACACACAATAAATCAAAATGCATATAAATACAAATACATATATATGTGTGTGTGTATGTGTGTTTTTTTGTGTTTGTGTGTGTGTATGTATCTATGTCAGTATGCTATATATGCATATATATGTGTGTATAAATATATACAAGTATATATATATACGTGTACATTTAGCTATATATATAAATGTATTAAAGGTCATATATATATACATTTATATTTATGTATGTGTGTGTATTATGTATACATATATCTATACGATATATATATACATATGTATATATATATATATAGTATACTATATATATATAATAAATAATATATATATAT